AGAAACAGTATAAGCCTAAAAGCAACTCTAACCAAAATCAAAACAGATAGAAGACTTAAAGAATAGATCCTGTTTAAAAAAGAAAAAGCATCTTTGAGGTTAGAAGAATTATAAAGAAATACAGCAAAGAAAAGAAAACTTTTGATATAGAACATTAGGCAAGAATAGAAAACAATAAGGATGACTAAATTAAAATTTGACTATGTGAAGACTGCTTCAGAAATAAAGACAAAGAAAAACTTATACAATGCTCATTTACAAGAAAATTCTGAACAACAGAAGAGCATTAAGAAAAGGCTAGTTCAAGCAATCAATGTCTAACTACAAAAAATTTGAAATTAAACTCAAACCAGAAATATTAAGTTAGAAAGAAGTAATCAAAGAAAAACAAGAGGATCTGAGGTGTAACCAAGAAATACAAAATAAGATCAGAATAAAAATACTATTTGAAAAACTGATTAGAAACTAGATAAAAGAAAAAGAGAGACAAGAAGACCTTATAGCAATTGCCCAAGAACTACAAGATATAAAGAATATTGGTTTCTATATAGACAGATCACTATACGAAGAAAAAATACCAAAGAGCAAGCTAGATAGTAATTGCAAGACACAAAGAAGAAAACGAAGAAGAAAAAGCAAGATTTAGCTACGTACTTAAAAAATAGCCATTCTTAACAAGAGCAGAACTAGAAGCTATTTGGATAGCATCATTTGTAATACTAAAAGATACAAAGATAACAATATATACAGACAATCTCGCCTCCATTTAGGCCCTTAAAAACAAAGATAGTATAGAGAAAGAAAGAGAGGTATTTAGGCTCAAGAATGCAAGTTTCATATGGCAAACCCAAATAATATAGAAGATGAAAAATCTCAGGGTATAGCTAAAAAAAGTCAAAGAGTATAATAAAAATATATACAATGAAATTGCAGACAAGCTAGCAAAAGACAGAATAAAAAAATAGAAAATAGTAATAGCAAAGTAGCTTTGGTCGAAGAAGTCATGTATACTAGCAAGGTAGAGAGATATTACAATAGATAGTCCGATAAGAGAAGTTGTAAACAAATTAGCTTTAGCTACTCTAAATGCAGAATAGACAAATTTAAATAGAAATATTAGATAGATTAGTAGAGAAAGAGAGAAGAAACTAGATTGAGGAAAAACATAGAAGTGGATAAATAAGAATAAGAAAAAGAACTGTACAAGTAGAAAAAAAAAAAAAAGTAGATATTTTAAGTCAAATGCCTAGATAAGATATTGCAAATCTTGACAGAACTGAATATAAGAAAACCCAAGATATACAAACCAAATACTTGTATAGTGTGCAAAGAGAAGACAGAAGACATAGATCATTTTGTTGAATGCAAGAAGTACCAAAGCATATTATTAAAGATGAAGCCAGCAACAAAGACCTCAAAGTACTTCAAAAAAAAGATACAAAAAAAGTTCTCAATGACAAGAAAGCAGTCAAGAAATTATTTTTTAAACAATCTCTAGAAGAAAGAATAGAAATAAGGAGATATCTGATAAGAAGCTTTATAATCAAAGAAAGAAAAACAGAAATCGAGGAGAAGATAGAAAACAGAAATATAAGATAAAAAGTACTAGACGTGATCAAAAGAAAGTTTAATAAAAGGTTCTAGATCTGCATATAGAACTTTAGATATAAACTCGTAAATGATTAGAAGAAAGAAAACAGAATCACTACAAAAATCAAAAAAAAAGAAGCAATATGAAAGAAAAAAATTATTACAAGAATCTGATAACAAAAAAAACAGAACTACAAAAAAGAGAAATAAAAAAAAACTCTTAAAAAAAAGAAAAGTGAATCTTCAATATGGTAAAAAATAATCAAAATCTAATTAGCTATTGTGTAAAGCCAAACTAGTTCTCCTGAACCAATATTATAAAAAAAAATAATGAACTTGACAAGGTTAGCAGCTCTCAGCTAAGGATTGAAAAAATCAAATTCTTAGTAAGTTGAGGATTTAATATGAAGCAAATTGACTACTTAGACAGATCGCACCTAGGCTGTAATTCTGAATGAGTCTTTATTAGTATAGAAATATAGTATAGAAAATTTATATTTAACTTAAATATAAAGTTTTGGTACTTCTAATTTAAATAATAAAGGCAAAATCACTAAAAAAAAAAAAATAAAAAAAATAAAATTAATAAGCTAATCTAAATATTTAAAATAATTTTATAAACAATTATTATAAAATGCATCTATGGTGGTTTTGCACCTATTGTATATTTTTATTATGTTTTTTAAAAAATTTTAAGTTTTTATAAATTTTGTATATAAAATTTTTAACACCAATTTTTTCACGTTAAAATTAATATTAAGGTTAAAATTAGTGTTTGAGAAAAGTTTTTGAGGCATAAAATATTTTTACTTAGAACACCTCACATCGATTAATTAGCTAGTTTTTGAAATAATGTATACATAGGTATAAACACTATAGGTGCGTTTTAGTAAAATCTTTTATAAATATTTACTATCTAATATTCTTTAATTTATAATAATTTAAATAAATGGGGGTAGGTCAATAGAAATCAAGCAAATTATTTTTATTAAAATTTTTTTTAAACTTTATATATTAATAATTTTGATCAAATTTAATAAAAATTTAAAAATTTTTTTAAACAAATTATATAAGTTTGTAGAATTTATTTAAAAAAATTTTTATTAAATTTGATGAAGTTTTTGTTAAATTATTATTGTTTAAAGTTTAAAAAAAATTTACTTAGAAAAAATTTGCTTGATTTCTATTAACTCAACCCCAAATATAAAAATAATTATTAATCTAAATATTTTATTTAAATTTCTAAATATTTATAATTAAATTTTTTTATTTATATTAATTTAGATTAGAAAATTATAAATAAGAAATTATAAGATAATTAAATATAGATATATTGATATCTTAAAATTTTTATTATAAAAAACTATACAACAACTCTTTTTGCTAATCATCAAAACACAAAATCTCTGAAGACAAAAACTAAAAAAAATATACAAAGACTACTAGAAAATCTAATTCAGAGCTTTAAGAAAAAAGAAAAAAGACTACAAAAAATATTCAGTTTTTTAAAAGACTTAGTAAAAAAAGCAGAAGGGGCAAAGAAATAAAAGTAGTTATAAAAAATTAGAGATAGGAATAGCTTATAATAAGCTAGCTTAATTATAGCTTTTAAGCTGAGCCAAGCTAAGCTAATAAGCCAGCTTAAGCTCTAACTAAATATATTTATATTACTTGTATTATTACAATAGTTTATAAGAATTTTTTATAATAAATCACTTAGAGATAGGATTAGCTTATGATAAGCCAGCTTAACTATAGTTTTTGAGCTAAGCAAAGCCAAACCAATGAAGCTAGCTTAAGCTAATCCTATTTCTAATTATAAATGTTTTGTCAGAGTATATATGTATATATATACAATAATGTTACTATCAATCTAGATACAACTAAATATTATCAAAACAAATTCAGATTAAAATTTAATACATATTATTATTAATTAAATTTAAAACAAATTAAAAAATAAAATTTAGTTTCAAGCTCTAATCATTATATAAAATATATAAGTTATGAATATATTAGGAATAGAGTGATATTAAAAATTTTATATAGTGTATAGTTATATAACAAAATCTTGTATCTTATTAGATATATATATATAGTGAAACAAAAGTATAAATATATATTGAAACTTTGTATATTATATTTTAGTATCTAAAATAATACTTGTTCTTGTATTTTGTATTGTATGAGATTGTTAATTTAACTTTTAATATATAATACCTAATTTAGTAATTTATTTTTTCATAATCGTTACTTAATTGCTACTATTATACTATTCTGTATATAGAATTAAATCCTGATTCTAGAAATTTGATTTCTATTTCTGTATTATTAATTTTGATCTACTTGTTATTAACTATCCTTTAAACCGTTTTGCAAGCAAATTTGCCTGCAAATTTTTGATCAAAATTACGTAAATCACTATGTTAACCTCAGTAATATTAATACCGGACATACTATTTGCGTAGAGCTTTTACTTGATACTACTTTTAACTATTTTTAATAGCGCCTTGTCATTATTTTTACTTTAGTTTGGCGAAATAACCCTGTAAAGTCATGTTGGGTCAAATTACAAGATACTACCAGGTGTGCTATTTATGCTTGTTGGGTTGAAATTTCAAACTGACAATCAGACTTAAATTTTTAATAATAACTTGTTAAATATGACATGACAATAGGCTAATAAAAATTGTAACGGCAAATTTTAATTAATACAAATAAATAAATAAATATCATGATACAGACAAAAATACTAAGAAATCAATTTTCAATTAATATTAAGGCATACAATATTAATAATTGGCTTTTATAACCGGCCGGGTCAAAAGTTTTTTTTTTGTAAAATTTTATATATGAATTTTTTTTAAAAAAAAACCTAGCTTGCCCAGTTTATTTAAAAGTTTTATGTTATGAAACCAAAATATATATTAAATTTGTATATAATACAAGTTGATAGTCTTGATTTAAGTATTAAATCGTAATATATAATATTATTAACTGGAAAACTTATTTATTAGTATAAATGTTTAGTTAATAAAAATATCAAGGATCTTATTAATATTTATTTCTGTACGTTTTGCTGTTTTAACTATGCACATATGAGTTTTTTTTTTATACTGTATACCACACAACCATCAAAAAGAGTGTGTGCAATAGGTTGATTCTGTGTATTGAGCACAGTTCGCATAGTGAAAATATTCAGTAATGTGAATATCAATCAGTAACGATGCATATAGCATAATAGTATTAATCATATTCTGTATTGAATGATATATATAGCGATAAGTTTAAATTTAATAATGCATCTTAATAATAATATATCTTTTTTTGGTTTCTTTAAATTGCATTCATATAGTAGTAATATTATATAGCAATGCATAAAATTATGATTTGTAATGCATCATATAGTAATGTATAAACAAGGTTTAGCCTTCTAATATATATAAGCAGAAAAAAAAATAAAACTTATTATGTATTTTATTACCAAAAAAAAAATCTAATTGCATATACTTAAAATCAAAGTGATTAATTATTTAGCTCTAAAACATTATATCTACTTATGAACAAGAAATTAGTAGCAGCAATTCAGAGTTTAGTGATGAATTCAAAGTAGATTTTTTTTCAGATTGTTATAAAGAACATTTAGTAGATGATTTATCTGAAAATCCTGATCAAGAAAGTGATAAAGAATTAGATTTTCAAGAAAATCTATCTGTAACCTCAACAGTTAGTACTATTAGAAATCAAGAACAGACTAGGAGATGATCATGTAGATCAAGAGCAAGCAGAAATAATCATG